CGAGGAATTTTGCCGCGCCGAGGAGTTTTCGACGCACACACGTCGTCGTGTTTTCGCGAGGATCAACGTAATAACGGGAACGTTAGAGAGATCCAAACAAAGCGATGGATGACCATTGCGCGTCCTTTATCTGCATTCGATCGCTTGCGTTTTATCTGATTGTGAGAGCCACTGCAATGTACTTTCTACTACGACGCGCTTAACTCGCGCGCGACCTATGGCCGATAGCGAGGTGATAAAACCTCATGAGAAGAGCTCGCGGACACCGCATCGTCCTACTTTCCGGTCTCCGAGATAGCCGCGGAGATACCAGACACTTTTCACGTGTAAAGGAAAGAGGCTCTTGCGTATTCTCTGCGGCGCGCGTGCGCGTGTTCTCTTCTCGTGTATTCCCGCTTGGAAAAAAAAAAAAAAAAAACAAACAAAAAGAAAATATTATCCTTGTCGATTCCGCTCCGAGCGCTTGAGATACGGACCGCGCGATATCCTCTGGGATGTAGGTGCGATTATCTTTCCTCCCGGTGAAAACGTACGAGAAGAAAAACGTTCCTCTTTTTCTTTTTTTTTTTTCTTTGTTGGATTATCCGAGGACTGACTCCGGTCGGTCGGTCGGTCGGTCATTGATCGTTCGAGGCTCGGTATCAACCGAGGCTTTATCTATTCGCCATTCGGCAATGAACCCGGATTAATCCGAACTTTGACGTGCACACGCCGCCGCGACAACCTAATCCGCTGTTTGCACGGCGAACTTTATCAGGTGAGCAGTCCGAATGCTTCCCGGACGGAGTAAGTCGCGCCCGTTTTGACGCTTCGGAGTTCAACGAACTCCACGGCAGTCAGAACGAGTCACTGCCGTGTCGCCGGGGTTAATTAATTGAGGTTGCGACTTTCTCCGATCGGATTTATACACCAGGCGTTATCGTACGCCGCTCGAAAAGTCAAAGAACTTTCTTCCGAATTGGCTTCTTCGAATCTCAATTGCCATCGATTTTACGGTCGATACAATACGGCACGTGTGCTCGAGCGCGCGCGTAAGAAGAGATCGCGGAGATACGCAAGATCCAATTAATAATTACGCGTGCACATCTTATACATCGGTTCAACGAACCCGAGCGGGGTTAATTTGGTGAATTCAACTTTCTTCGACGGGACTTAACCCGTGGTAGACCTCGGCCTGACATTGAAACAATGAACCGCGAAAGTGACGAAAAGAACAACGCGCCACTTAATGAGAAAAGAATACGAGAACCACGCGCCGAAACGAGGAAATGTTTCGGAACTGCTCTCTCCGTTTTTATTTTTTATGAGTCTCGACACAGAGAGAGAGAGAGAGAGAGAGAGAGAGAGAGAGAGAGAGAGAGAGAGAGAGAGAGAGAGAGAGAGAAGAGATAAGAAAGTATGAAAACATGTGTCGTCG